CTAAAAGAATGCAAGTACAAAGAGCAGCTGAAACAGAAGAATGCAATCAAAGACTTCAAGCACAAGCTACAAGACAAGGCTGCTCAAATACGAGAAAAGACTTTGGAAAAACGTAAAGTTAGACTTCGAGCTCAAGCTGAAAGGCAGGCTACTCAAAGACAGCAAGAAACTGTTGAACAAAAAAGACAGAGTTCGGTTACAATCATCAAGGCAAGCTGGATATAGACAACAAGAAACTTCTGAACAACGTCAAATCGGCTCTGTAATATTGTAAAGATTTAGAAAAAAAGCACTAACAATGAAAGAGAAACTGGGTAGTTCTGATGAAAGTTTGTGTGCAGAACGTAAATTAATATCCCTTCGAATACTGAAAAATTCAACTCCAGATAAGGTCTTATTTAATATATGTGAATACCAAATCAAAGAAAATTTTCCAAATACGTTTATTACTCTTGGAACTTAATTAACTTTGCCCGTGACGAAAGATCGTTTTCAATAAATACGTTTTTGTGTTCCACAATGAGACCAGAGAGATTAAACAATTTAGTAACCCTTTTAATACTAGGGATCGGCTCACTGGCATACTAACTGTTGCGGAATACTAGAACCCAAGTATAACAACAAAAACAAAATAATAAAACGTTAAAATTTACATTCTGTCAATTTTTCTTCATTTTTGTGGAAACCAACAGAACGGCGCAGGTCGATGGTTGAGAAGCACAGAGCTAGTGTCTGATAACAATTTGTTGAAAACAGTGCATTTTAACAATTAAAAAATTATACTAGCATCATAGCAACAAAAAGTGGCGAAATTATAATAAAGCAATCAAGTAAATTACCATTAATACAGTAAATTGAAAAAAGAAATAAAACTACTCAATGAAATATCTTTCCTCAAAACTAGTAATATTTGTATAAATACGATTTATTTCCCCAATGATAGTAACTCTTACTCCTAGGCTAGGCCTTTGTATGGTGGAATTTTTGCTCAGTGATGGGTCGTTAAGATACAATCTACAAATTAGAACCACAGGTAACGTTTCAATGTTTTAGTTTCGAAGTCAGTGGACATATTATGTTGAATTATGTAAGTTTCCAAGCTTAGAATAACACTCAAAAATTAAATGTATGCAGTACAAACATCGGGGATGGAAAATAAAATTGTGAAAAGCTTTGGAAAACTTAGTGAGATTCATTCTATGTTAATTTTCAATTTCACTCGAGAATTTGCAAGTATTTCAATATACACTGACTAAGTTGATTAAAGGTAAATTACATATCGATATTGTACTAGTGTTAATCATAATTTATATAGTATATATAAAACGTGAAAAAAATTCATGTCACGTAATAGTAATATGGTTTAAATATTAAACGCTGAGACAAGTAGGCTAAGTTCGTCTTCTAGTTCCAAAGTAAATTAAAGTTAGAATGATTCAATCTGCTAAACGACCAATTAGTATTAATTTGTTATTTTTTAGAAGTATGAACTTAATTAACGCAAAATATGAACTTTTGTCTTATCTTCAGCGTAAGTTGTGCTTATATAAACCTAGCAGTAACACATTACTGAAATATAGTTTTACTCACTGTAGAGGCTGTAATTAACCATAACGATAATACAATAATTTTAAAAAAATGAGTTGATGAATGTTTGTGTAATTGTGGGGAAAAGTGGCAAATTTAGAGATTCATTTTTTATTCGGACAATTTGGAAATCTAGATATCACTATTGATCCACAAGGTCCCTTTATGGCCTTTAATTATTTATTTAGGTTAACTAAGTTTAATGTTTACTTAATAGTACTTGTTACTACAATAACAGTGTTTATGCTACAGACTACTGCAGTTTATTAAATTGTTAGTTGTCTTGATTTTGATAAAGTATAATATTGTTTTGTAAAAATATGTATTAGGAAAGCATTATATCTTGGAACACAATGTAATTTATGTGGGTGATATTGTTTTATTTTCACATTTTGTTTACTTTATGGATAACATTTAATTATTAAACTTATCCGACATTTGTTGTTGTTTTATTGTATTCTACTTTTTCTGTTATATTGTTGTTGTTTGTTATTGAACACAAAGGGCTATCTGTGACCTGCCCACCACGGGTATCGAAACCCAACTTCTAGCAGTATAAGTCCACAAACATACTGCTGTACCACAGGAAGGCTTTTCTGTAAGAGATTTTTGTGGTATTTTGGTGTTAATAGTGTGTCTTGATAATGGTATGCTAGAGTTTGGTATATAGAGATACAATTTCTTTGTATATTGTAATTGATGGGGTTAAATTTTTCTTGTTATTTTCATCTTTATTTTATTTTATGAGTGTCATTTAAGGAGGAAACTTAGCTCTGAATTCTTTTTCTATAGTTTGTTTCAGTTTCTTTGTTGTGAAGGAGGCATCCCAATATGGAACTCTTTTTAAAGTATTATTTGTATAAATATTACTTTTTGAGCTTATGTCATACAGTACACAGGAGGATAAGAATAGAGTGATGGCTTCTTGTGTGATGTAAACCTAACATTAGTCATTACTTCATATGTACAAATCATTTAATGGTGTAAGTACCTTGTTACATTAGTTTCAAATATTATTTCATTACAACCTGGAAAAATCAAGAAATTGGGAACAGTTGCAATCTACAAATCAATATATTATTGGTTGTAGATCTAAAATATTTTGATAGTTATACTATAACTTTGGACCAAGTAATTTTTCTTTTAGTTTTAAAATAAATTCAAAATAAATTTACTGTGTATAATATGGCTGTATGTGGTGAAGCATCTTAGTCTTGCAAGCCATGTGTTTTAGGTTAAACGTTTTACTTAGATTAGGTTTAATGGTACAACATCCTGCTGTTATCACACAGAAAATTTAAAGTTGTTTACATTATGTTTCTTCACTAATTCAACATCTTCAGGAAATTAGAAGATGTTTGTAAGATTTGCCTGTCAATTCATCATTATGATTAGATGAACAAATAGAATCTGTTGAGCCTTACATGCCCATATTTTCTAGTTTTCATCATTATAAATGAACATAATTTGTTGAGCTTTATACGTAAATGTGTTTTGTTAAGTGTGTCACTCATTATCGGTATAACAACAATTAACATAATTCCAATAATCAGGTTGCATAAATTTTAATAGATGGATAGTACCTCGGGTAAAGAAGGAGAAAACCTTGTTCCTTCAGGCAGTGCTGATATTCCACAAAATTTGCAGGATATTGAAGTACTGGACAGCTCTAGCAACCTCTTTATTACAAAGGCTTTATCAGTACTAGCCACAGCTCATTTTAATCTCCCAACAAACGTTTCTCTAAAAGATCTGCATAGCGTGGCCAAACAAAATCTAATTACTTCAACCCAGGAAAGTATTGCTAGAGAACTGTCCAACTGTCCTGAATCCAAGTCTTTGCCAGAAGTAGAAGTACAGATAGATAATGCAGGTAATTACAACTTATAGTTTATAGACTAGGTACATGGCATGTATATATTCATATTACTTTTTCTCTTTGTAACCTAACCTCACATGACATATGGAACGTACTATATGTGCTTAACGCACACAAAAAATTCATATTTTAAATAAGGATTTACTTGAAGTGAATGGCGAATATGGGAATTATAAAATATTATTATAATTTTTATTAATAGTATGTACATATTCTGCATATATATATATATTATAGTAGATTGACCATAAAATTGTCCTATGTACAGTACTTTTCAGAAACTTAAAAGAACATGTACTGAGCTGTGAAACTGTAAGCTCAGATATTTTGAGAAAATTTAAATGTTATTAATCTTTCTTAAATTATCTTGAAACAATATTAACTATCAAAGTAATTATCTTCTCACATATTCCAAATCTTCATAATTGTATTATATTTTCTTAACAGTCAAGAAGTATTAAATTAAAGACTGTTAGTTTTTCATACTTAATACAAAGAGATATAATTTTGATATAGCATTATCTATCAAATGATGGGCATAAAAGGTATGGGGACAATCATTAGGATTTAAAATTAAATTTCAGAAGAATTCCTTTCTAATTAAAAAATCCATTTTAACAACTGTTATTGAAAGGAGCATCTTAAGTAACATATTCATGCATAGTAGTACTGTTGGAGATGCTGAATGCAAAAACTAACAAATTTAGCTTCTTAAAATTATAAATTTTTGAGGTCTATAAGAACTGCAAGATTATATAGTTTATTATATACAAGTTAAATTTTATTTTATTAAAAAAATGTTTTGGATTTCCCCCCCAAAAATGTTTGGGTGTTGTAGGTTTGACAAAAATTTAACCTTTATGTACAACTTAATTGCTGTTATGGTGCACAACCAGTAAGGGGGTATTGACTGTTGGTGCACAACTAGTTAGAGGTATTGATTGTGTAGAATTAAGGGAGTGGACTCTGATGATTAGGTTTTTCTAACTTAAAACAAATTACATTTTGATATTACTTGCTTGATACGTTGTTTCAGATTTTTTGTTCAACGCCATTTACCAAAATGGATTCACTAAAGGGAAAAAATTTTATATTTACTAATCTGTTAACTCTTTATGAGGATGTTACTTCTTACCTGGATGATGGAAAAGGTGTGGACCAGGGATTCTTAGTTTTTCTAAAAGATTTTGATAAGGTGTCATACACATTAGCTAAGGAAATAATATTGGTGAGGGTTGGGAAAAGCTTGTTTAGAGAAAGCAAAAAGTTGTGATTAATGGAGTCCAATAATAACTGGATCTTCATTACTAGTGTAGTGACTGCTTTGTTTTACATTAATGATAATGACAGGAACATTATTAGTAAAGTATCAAAGTTTACTCATGACATTAAATTCTTGGTTATTTCTAGCTGTTCTGAAGATGTTGAGGTATTACAGAATAATTTGAATCAATTTTTAAGTTGGATAAATATTTACCAAATAACCTTTAATTATAGTAAGTGGAGGTTAATGCATTTGGGTTATCATGATTTTTACTACATGTTTAATATAGAAGAGAACCCATTCAGTAGCGTGACTAAAAAGGACTTCTGTGTAGAAATAGATAAGTCACTCAAACCATGAAGACTGTTCTCTGTTGATAGTAGTAAAACTAGTAGAATTTAGGATGTATTTATAAATAAATTGATTACAAATCAGAAGAGGAAATTTTCTTTATACAAATCACCAGTTAGGCCTCATTTAAAATATTGTGTACAGTTTTTGTTTTGTTTTTTATTTAAGAAAGGATAATGACTTGTTGGAAAGAGTTCAGAATAGGTCTGCTAGGATGATTCCAAGGTAATAGATTAATATCTTTTAATTTATTATATCATGAGGAAACAAGGGTAAGAAGTGATATTAGTGAAGCTCACAAGATTACCTATGAGATTATTAGGTTAAATGCCTCTAATTTCTTCATAATGAAAATAATGGGATGAGGGAAATACTAATTTAAGATTTGGAAAGGATGTGCAATGCTCCAGTTAAGACAATTTTATTTCTCTAACAGGATAAGAGTGGCTTATGGAATGATTTGCTATCAGCGGTAATGAAGATCAATTATGGAATTGATAATTTCTTAAGAAATAAAGGATGGATTTGAATTTATACTATTCTTTTTCTGAAGGACGAGTGTGCAGGGACAGTTTCAAAGGTCTAAATGATGAGTTGTTGTCCTTACGTTCAAAAACAAATGACTTTCCTTGTTCATCCCTATAATTTTTATATCTGTTACATGTAAAACAAAAACTCACCAGGATTATGTAATTAGTTATTGAAACAGCTTTTTGGGGGGGGGGGGGGGTAGATTTATTTTGGTGCAGCATTTTGTCTCTAAAAGAGAGATATGATGATATACAACATTCAAAGTACAAATAAATATTCTCAACAAAAACTGGTTGAAGAGCTTTATATAGGATTAAGTAAGTTGATGAAACTAATTTTCAAATTTGTCCCATCTCCAGGTAAAGTTAATAACCTTTTGACTCAGATAAAATCAATAGAGAAAGAAAAGCATTCAGCTGCAAGTGATACAACCAACAAATTACTTCAACAAACTGGTGAACAGAAATCATTAACATGCACACGTGAAGGATGTGGCAGAAAGTTTAGGTGGCCCACCCATTTCAAGTACCATCAGCTGACTCACTGGTTAGTACACTAAAAGTTTATTTAGTTATTAAGTACATTAATTTATAAAATACTAGCAGAAACGTTGGTCTATGGGTGGCTGTTTGTGTTAGTAATTACTAATTGTAGTATTCATACCTCATTTAAAAAAAATTTAGAAAAAGTGAACATTTTCCAAAAAAGAATTTCTCAGGAAGTACTGCACAGGAAAAGTGTTCAGATTGTGCTGATATAGACTGTAATGTTTTTTATGTATTAAAAGTGGTATCCTTAAGAACTCCATTTTTTATTACTATATTTACAAATTACATCAATAATGATATAATCAAACCCTCAAGTACAGTCCTAGTGAGAGTCATGTTCTTTTTGTGAAGAAAGTACTTTTATTTAAAATTGTGTTCTGTGATAAAGAAATGGTTGTTGAACATACTGTAGTTATTTTTCTAATTGTCTGAATCTTGAATATCCAAAGCTTGAAATTAGTTTTTTTATGGATTTTTGTTTGCCATGCCATTCAGAAAATGACACCATGTTGTATTTATTATTTCAGTCACATACGTAGATAGATACATATATACATGCTACTACGTCCACTATAGTAAGATGATGTATAAGCTGATAAGTTCTGTTTTACCAGTGAACAGATGTATGTTTAGTTCTTAGAGGAGGTACATGGAAAAAGTGGTAAATGAGAAAACCTTGAAAATTAAAATTTCCCTCAGAAACCATCTTATTATGCATATTTATACAATCTGAAATATATTGTGACTTTGTTCATACCAACACTAGGTATGTTCATCTAAAGATACCAATCATCTACTAGTTTCAGGTGGACTGGTCATCTACTAATAAAAATGTCTCAATCATCTACTAGTGAAATACATCATGGTCATTTAATGGTGATAGATGTATTGGTCATGTACTAATGACAAGCATACTGACCAACTAATAGTAAAAGAAGTATTAGTCATTTATTGGTGATAGATGTGCTAGTTATCCTCCAGTAAGAGAATTATTTGACATTCACTAATGACAGATTTACTGGCCATTTATTAGTGAGGGAACTATTGGCTATTTGCAGATGTTAAATTTATGATCATTTACAAAGGACAGATGTACTTGTTACATACTGAAAAAATCTACTTATCATTCTAGTGATGACAAATTTTCTACCCATCTGCTAATAACAAGTGTTTGTCATCTGTATATAAGAAACATTCTAACTGTATAATGGTGACAGATGTATTGATCACCTCAGATATACTGGCTATCTACTGGAAAAATATTGTTACAAATGTACAGGTTATCTACTGGAAAGATTTATGCAGAACCAATGTTTTTAACAACAATTTTGGCTTACAGTTTTCTGGGGGCATGCCCCCAGACTCCCCTAGCAATAGCATACTTAACACACCATGACCAGTCATCTTACACCTGTAGGTATTAAATTTTAACTCGAGAACATTGTGGTTACTCAACTTGCCCCCCCCCCCACACACACACACGATTGTTTGCTCCTAGATATGCCTTTGCTGAAAGATGCATTCTTCATCTGTTGTTGATAAATGTATTGATCATATATTGATAAAAGAAGTTTTAGTCATCTAATGGTGACAAATACTGTATTGTCCCTGCACTAATGATAAAATAATAGTATATTTGTTGGGGAAAAATAAGTATTAGCCATCTAGTGGTAATATGTGGCCTGATCATACAGTGTGATAAAAATATATATACTACGCATCTACAGGTAATAAATGTACTGGTGAAACACACCATTTACCCACTGGTGATCAATGAACTAATTTTGTATGAGTGATATATATTAGCCATTTTCTGGTTATGGATATCCTAGACATCTTGGCTGAACTTGGCTTGATGGTTAGTGTGTCAGACTGGTCCATTGCTCACATCCCATTAGTACAAAAAAAAAATTTATGTTTTTGGTACTTCGAGGGTCATTGGTATGTTATAAGGGTGACACTCAACTCCCTTTATTTGTTCAGACAGAAGTAGACCAAGAGTTGAAGGTGGCTGCTGTTGGCTAGCTGCCTTACTTCTAGTATATCAGTTGAAAATGTCTGGCATAGATAGTCCTTGAGTAGCTTTGCACGAATATCTGAAAAACTACTAGCAATCGACTGGTTAAAGATATACACAAGAAAAATTATTGATTCTTCTATTCTACATATTTCACAAGGTATTTATCAAAAGCCTCATTATTTCAGACTTTGTATTATTCATAACATATTGGTTTAATCATATGACTTTAGACAGTGAAAATATAATTTTTTTTTTTTTTACCTTTCATAGTGGGAGTAGACAATATAAATGTACAGTAGAGGGATGTGATATGAGTTTCTACACCTGTCAGAGGCTAGCAGTGCACATGAGAACTCATACAGGTGAACGACCTTTTGTATGCTCTCAACAAGGATGTGGAAAAAGCTTCACAACTGCAGGGAACTTACAGAACCATTACCGAATTCACACAGGTTATCTGGAAATTTTTGGAATTGATAACTGATACATTATCATTTCTGTATTGAATTATATTCATACTTGACTGTAATAGATATTAATGTTTGTTAAGTTTAAGGGTTTTGATAGTATACCTTGTTTTTTAAATACTTTTCTACTGTCTTTGAACAATAGATGAACTGTAAAGATTTATTGCAACTAAAATTATCTGTACTTTCCCGTTAGTCGTTTATGTTCTATGGAGGTTGAGTGATGACAGAATTTTCAACTCTCACCATTTCTTTGTAGTCCATATCGCTACATCCAGTTATACTCTATCTGATGGCCCTGCATCATAGTTTACATTGCAAAAGGCTGTTTCATAAGGCTGTCATGTAAAAAGCACACCAAAACTCTCTCCTAGCTTTCCATAATCAATGTAGTGAATGAGGACAACAGTTACTCAGTGTCCATTTTAAACAGTCTGATCTCACATAAATCCATAGGTGCTATGTCTGGGAACTTGACCAGAATGTCTTCATCAGGCTGGGATTGTTAATCATAATGGAATTTTAAATATCTCTTCAATAGATAATCAGATCCTTACAATACTGTACAGTATTTCCTTTTATAACAATATCTATGTAATGACTGAGTCACAAGTTATAGGAATGTCTGTAAATATCATAGCGAAAAGTTTGAATTTCGTGTTCTTCTTTCTTCTGCTTCCTTTTTTAGTACATGATAACTCAAAAACCCAAACAATGGATCAACCAAAACTAAGGTGATATTGTTTCAAATGGAAATATCTGCTTTTATAAATATTATTAACTAGTAGTAATTAAAAATAATCATAATTCTAGTGTAAATGATGTTGTCATTACCCCTTGAAGTTAGCTTTCTTACAGAAATTTGGTGTTCCTTTAAAAAGCTTAAGTGCAAGGTGAAACAGGAATTACCAGGCAGTAATAAATAATAAATATTACAGTTGAAACCTCATTGTATTTAGAACTTGGTTGTAAATACAACCTTCCTGTGTGTATTGAAACACTGCATTGAAAACAACAAGTAAAGAATAAACTTTTCAAAAAAAAAAGTAAATGTAGGGATGGCTGATATCAATACTTCAAAAACAACTCAAACAAGATAGTAAAGATGGCATTTGCATCATCCCTACATAATAGCACAAGCAAGAGTTAACATGTTGAGCTTAATATATCCTATTTTTGTTGGCTAACATTCTACTACACTGTGTGCCTGTGCTCTTATGTAGGGATGATGCAAATGCCATCCCTGCTATCTTGTTTGCATTGTTTTTGAAGGATTAATGCTAGCCATCCCTATATGTACTTTCTTTTTTGAAAAGGTTTTTCTTTACTTGTATAGAATAGAATGAATACCTAGTTAATCCTTCAGCTACATGATGTATGCAACAGTTGAAAGGATATGTTGTGGAAGCAAATTGTGTCACTTTTCCAGATTATCTTGTGTACTGTTATACAATATAACAGTGCCTATGTTATACTCTAACATAAGCACTAGAGGCCGAGGAGGTGCAAGCCATAGTTTGCCAATAGTTCATATTCTTCTTCTCCACATAGGATGGTGTACCTTCATACTGATGAGAATGTGAAAGAAGATGATGATTTTGACAAAGTTTTTTCTGCTCCTTTGTTTGCTATACTGTCATTTCAGGTACCTTTGGAAGAAGTTCCCCTTCCACTCCTTTCCTGCATTTGATTACACAGGTGTGCCATATTTTGCATGTTTCTCCTGTTTCCTATGATGCTTCCCCTTCCCTTTTGTGTGAGCTTCTTACCTCTGTTTACTTGGTATTTCCTCCTTCACCTGACATAGAGATTCATTTTCAGTGATTTGTGTCCCAGTTTATTTTGGGGCTAGTATGCCTCAACCCCCTTGTGGCTTTTCATTGTTCTGCCAGCCATTATTTGGATTCTCAGCAATTAAGTCCACTGTTAACTCTTTGGAGCTCTAATCCTGAAACTTCTCTCTTTTTCACGGGCCCAATTTTCAAGGATTCGTGTCACCCTCACTAATGTTTTACGTTACCTCTGCTCTATGCACCTGAGGATTTTCGTCATTCTCTCAATGATTTTCCAGGGGAACTTTTGGTCAATTTTGGGTGAGGCTCTCTTTCTCTGCTCTTTCCCTGCTTACCTGGCTCATTTGTTCTTGGGACTTGTTGGGAAGGGATGTGATTCCTGTTGGGGTTGGCCTCACCATCTTCTCTCAGGGAATTACAGGCTGCTTCATTATTACATGATACTATTTTGGGGGACTGTCCCGATTCTTTGGAGTCCCAGGTGAGTATTTCCAGGTTGCATAGTTCCCTGGCTAGTTGTTTAACCCAACCTTCCTCATCTCCTGACCCTATTGTTGTTTCCCAACCTCCTGAGTCCATACCTCATCCTTTATCTGCATCTCGTCATTCTTGTCAATATCCCCATTTTTCCCGAACCCATCACAGATGTCGATAGCATTACTGGTGACTGCTCATTGAGGTCAGGTCCTGTGGGGGCCAACTACACTCTTTTGTACATTTGGGAGACCCTCTCTACAGATTAGTTTTTAACAGTGGGTCTCTCTCTTTTCTTTCCGTCTTCTCCCCATTTTCCTCATCTCCTATTCCTTTCCCTTCCCCACAACATCCGTTTATCCTGTCATCATCTTGCTGAGGCTGTGAGAGAGCTTTTTCTCAAGGAAGCTATGGAGCATGTGGTTCCAGCTAGAACTGGTTTTTACTCACGACTTTTTGTTATCCCCAAGAAAAACAGGGATTGGAGACCTGTCATTGACCATTCTGGTATCAGTCAGTTTCTAGATCCCCCTCATTCCTCCATAGAGTCTTTTCTGCCCCTTTGTTCGGTTTTACCTCTAGGTCTGTGGATGACCAAGTTCGACTTGGGGGATGTATATTTTGATATGCCCATATCTCCCTCATCTTTTTCTTTTCTTTGGTTCATTCATGAGGGGCATGTGTTCCAGTTCAGGGCTTTCACTCAACATTGCCATTCATGAGACTCCTCATTACTTGGACAACTGGCTTCTTCTGGCTCCTTCCCATTCACTGTCTTTTGCCAACACTTGTTTTCTCCTTTAATAGGTGCTGCAGGTAGGTTGGTTGATCAAGCTGGAGAAGTCTTTAATTTCCCCTACTCAGTATCTGGTTCATTTGGGGGATTTTCTTCAATTCCCATCTCAGTCAGGCCCAGCCTTTTTCACTTCATCTTCAGGATATGGAGCTGTTGGTCGTCAAGGCCCTATCCTCTCCTTCTCTGCCAGCTGAAGAGATTCTATCTCTTTTGGGGTTGTGTGCTTCATTGGAAGCACTCATTCCCCTCAGTCATGCTCCTATGCATTCTCTGCAGTAGGAATTTGCAGTAACTGGAATTTCCCGGGATCCTTAGGATCTTCTGGTTCACCTTTCTGCTTCCCTATGGTCCAATTTTACTTGGTGGTTGGACAGAAACAGTACTATGGTTGGTGTTCCTCTTCCACCTCTTCTTCCAGATCTGCAGCTTTCACAGGTATTTCTCTTGTGGGTTGTGGTGCTTCTCTTGATGCATAGGAGATTTCTGGGACTCGGCTGATTTTGAGCTCCATGTCAATCTTCTGTAACTCTTAGCAGTTTGTTGGACTATGTTTTATTTCCTCTATCTTCTATGAGAAGGGAGGGGGTAATTATGGTGCATTCAAACAACACCTTGATAATCTTCTACATAACTATGCAAGGGGGTACCAACTCCAGGTCCCTTTGTTTTTGGACACTGGAACCTCTATTCTGAGCCCATGAACACTAGATACAGTTATTAGCTTGCTACATCTTGGGTGCATTGAATCTGGTGTCAGACTAGTTGTCATGTTCACACAGAAAATGTGAAGTTTTGCTAATTTGAAAGTTTCTAATGACATGAGGAGTATAATGTATTCATACAATCAAGTTTTGCTAACTTGTGAGTTTTTAATAATAAGATGGCTTGACATATTAATGTAGTGAATTTTTGCTGATTGTATAGGTTTTAATGATATAGTTGTGTAACTTATTAAGGTTATATAGTTTCTAATTAGAAATACTTGTGATATGTAAGTGTAACATATTAATTAAAAGTCAAGTACTTTTTTGAGACATCTCTTAGTGATATTTATGTATTTAAACATCTATTATGTCAATAGCTTAACTGATATGTTGTACAAATCAGTTATGAAGTGAAAACTCATAATTACATAGTATACCCCTTTGATTTAAAAAAGTAACTTCTAAAATGTTACACTGATATCTTTGAAGGATAGAAAGTTTTAGCAGTGTTACATAGTATGTCTCTAGAAGTTAAGTATTCATTTTGTTTAAGAATCTTTATATGATGACTTATAGGAGAGAAGCCTTTTGCTTGTTCCCATGAGGGCTGCTTAAAGACATTTGTTGAATACTCAAGCTTGAAGAAGCATATGCTGGTTCACTCAGGTTCGTTTTGTAGTTGTTTTCATTTTATGTAATTGACATTTTCTTATGCTGAAATAAAAACATGAACACCTAAAAACCTTTTTCATTGTTGTCTGTAATAGCTCAATCAGCTACAAGTATTTCTGTTTTTAGGTGAGGTGATATGTTTTAGTACATTAATTTCCTGCATCAAGGGATAATGAAGGATTTCTCTGCGAGTTTAAATATTTGAATTGAAATAATAACACTGTTTAAATTCAGAAAACTCAACTTCCTCTTCATTTCAGCTTTTGCACTAAACTTGCTTTATTTGGCATGTCTATCTCAGAAATAAATGTCTTTAAGGCTCTGAATATGTCACAAGTGTGAGCTTGTTTGAAATTGTATGAACTTTCTCCTAAAACAATAAATTTGTTTAAAAGTGTATTCAGGTGTTTGTGTGATGGGTAAATTATTAATTTTTGGTAATTTAATAAGCTTCGTCAATCTATATTATTTTGGAAACTACATTTTGAACTGTAGGCAATTTGCAATTATTACAGGTAAATTGAGATGGATGATTTAATCAGTCACCTGTGAGCATCGATTATATCTATTAGTGTCATGTAAACTTATTTATTAACTGAAGTTATTACTAAATTGATTAATGTCACAAGTGAATTAACTGAAATTAGAGTTTCCAGTTATTAGTATTTTTGATTAATCAAAATTATGATTAAATCAATTTTCACAAAAATAATCACTTAATTAAAATTAGTTGTTCCGATTGTTTCTGTTTTCAGTTATTCCACTATTTAATCAATCAAAATTATTATTAAATCAATTGTCACAAAACAATCAACTAATCAAAATAAGGGTTTCTGATTATAACTATTTTTATTGTTTCAACAATCTAAATAATTTAAATATTGCCGTTATGTTAATATTTCATTAAGTATAAAGCTAAATAATGGGCTTATTGTGCTGCACCCACTGGGATTTTCAAAACGTGGTTTTACTGTTACAAGTCTTTTTTTTTTTTATTATTGTTCAGATTTGTTCAACTTTGGACCAGCATGATCTGTTGATTGGGGGGGGGGGGCTCATGAATCAGGGGTCTTGGGTTGATTGATATTGCCAGCAAACTTGCTTTTGTCTTTATTATTGTAAAATTACTTAGGCTACCTGCCATTATTAATAATTTTGAACTGGTGACTAGAAGGAAGTCAAGTGGCTAGTTGGAGTCACTTCCCACTCTTTTGCTACATAAGTGTTAAACGGAGTGTAAATTTACTGTTTTTCAACATTATGTTATGTTTTTATTTTATAATGTATAACTTTATGATGTACAAGCAGCCACTGATCTAGGGGAGTGGTCTAGATGCATCCTCCATTTTTCCAAAAATTAATAAGAAAACAATCAGACATCCTTACAGTACCATATAGTATCGGAAAGAAACATAAGATGTTTTTATTTTATTGGGCAAGTAATTACCATAAAAGCTTTATTTCTTTTAATTTACTGAAATCAACACAGCTGGAGTCTACAGGCAATAACTGGTTATTTGTAAGCTAATAAACAGTGAAGAGCCTATAAACAAACCACTTCTCTTTAAAAAAAAAAATTCTGCTCTTCCTAAAGAATAACTATTTTTACTAAGAACTTATCACTTTTTAGAAAATTTATTATGCATTTTTTATTTTCAATTGTTTTTCAGAATCTTTGCACAGACCTTATTTAAAACCTTGCTATGGTGCCATATCAAGTGGTTTGATCATTTATTAATGAAACAAGCTTTAAATACAGTCAGAAAGAAAGTTTAAATATGATTTGATGGAGCAAGAAAAGTAGAGTAAATACACAGGCTTAAGTGTTTTTTATAGTTTCTCTAAATTTTCCTTTCATATGTGAATTTTGAAGTGTTGTTGTGTTAATTATATCTGTTTGAAAGCCACAGAATTTTTTTTCAATAAGAAGACATCAGATAACTTGAGATAAGGTGAACTTGTACAGTTTAAAGATGGGTTGAATAGGTACCAAAGCAAACTTTAATGCGGTGACAAATATAGAATGTTTGGAGAAGGTTTTTGTCATTATCAGGTATAAGTGCTTTATCTAAACACAGAAATATATATGTATATATTCCACAGTACGAAACAAAGAAGCCACATGACTGGAGGTTACTTAAGACTTTGTAAAAGTATCTTGTTAGTTTTTGGTTCTTGTTAAAAAAAAATTTTTAAATTTTTTAATAGTTATACTATGTGTTAAGTTAATATTTGAAAATACAAGTTTTTTGTTTTTTTTATGTTCAACTAATAAAATCCAGCTGTTATCTAATCAAATAAGTCTAGTTTACTGTTTGTGAGTATGGTAGGTAACTGTAAGGTGTTCTGATGACTCAAATCTATATTGAATATTATTTTTAGATTTATCTTATTCAAACAAGATAAATAAATAAATTAGCTAATGAGCTACTTAATTATTTCTAATTGCAGTCGTGATATGTTTTAAATAAAAACATTAAGAACCTTATCATTGATACTAAACATTTCCTATATTTGATTAACAGAAGAACAGTGTGGGATTACTGCGTATTACAAACATATACATAATGATGACCATGTGATACATTTGCCAAGTTGGAAATGTCCATGTTATATTTAAAAAATTTGCAACAAAATGTTTTTTGTGTAAAAAAATTGTTTTTAGCAAAATATGCAAATAGTGATCTCTAGAAGATGTCTGTCATATGAAACAAAGGTTAATTCTATAATTGCTTTAAGTAAATCAAAAGTAGTAGGTGAAAGGGTAATGAGCTAGTGCTAATACCATGTTAACATGCAGTACTTTACAAGGGTAATGAGCTAGTGCTAATACCATGTTAACATGCAGTACTTTACAAGGGTAATGAGCTAGTGCTAATACCATGTTAACATGCAGTACTTTACAAGGGTAATGAGATAATGCATACCAATTTTTATTTCTTATATGGAGAGGGGAGGTTAACTAATTGATTAATGAGCCAGTTGATTAATTAGTTAGTAAAATCCACTAATTGCCAAGTTCTATAAGTAAATGGAGCTTGAGATATTTGGCAAAATGAAGTGTTGCCAACTTTAAAAAATAGGAATGAGAAGTGGTATTGTGTCAAAATTCCAGTTATATTTTTATGTACTTAAGAATAATTTTCACACCTTTTGTACAGCTGGGGAAAAAAATGTGCACTTTTAACATAACAAATGTGCTTCTTGTACATGCTTTTATGAAGTGGATGATGTTTGTAAAATTTATTTATCCTTTGTATCTTGTATTACATCTTTTACAAATTGCTTACTGAGAAATGCTTTTGTTATCTACGTGATTCATTGTGACCTTAATAATACTAAGCAATAACAATGGTATTACAGTAGGATTTGCAATTTTAAATAGGATTAGAATAATGTCATTTTTGTTGTATTTCTGTAGTTTTTTACTTTTCAGCAAAAAACAGTTGAATCATGTTATCTGTTTAGGCATGTTAAACTAAATTTTAATTTCACTATATATTTTTCAATAATAGGATGATTATTAAATTATTGAACTCTGAGGTAAAAAAAAAGGCAGAAAGAGAGAATTAAAAAAAAATTATTGTTGAATTATTATTATTAATTTCTACAATCCACTATTATTTGACATTGTTAGCTTAGTATCTGAATTTTTAGGATTAACTTAAATCTTTTAATTAAGCTAGCTGAATCATATGAGAGCTTATTAGGATTGTGGCCAAAAAATTATTATTGATAGTGAAGATACCAAACTGATGATTCAATGCATTGTAATGATTATAGGTTTTAGTCTTCTTATGTATTGATTCAATATATAATGACAATAGGGTTTGATTTTGTTGTTTAATGATTTATGATATTATGTACTTCTTTTACTAACTTATAAGTTTATTGTGAATGCAGTTTGGCTTCATATTGACCTTTGAGGAGAGCAGACTAATCTTTGTATACTGAAGGAGCCAGAACTTGAAAGTTGCTGTAGATGTCTTTTTGTTTTGCCCTACCATACTCAACAACCTTCTGATGATCCTGTCCATTTTATTTCACTTTCTTTATAATAGCCTTCATCATACTTGCTTATCTTTATGCAGTTTATTATTTTCTATGTAAATTCACCTTGACCGTAAAGTGTAATATTTTACCACTGACCAATCAAAAATCCTACCCCTAGCAGTCTTACAATAAATTAAAGTGATTTATTTTTTCCTTGACCTTCAACAATTGCCTTATCACTTTGATTTCACAAACTGCTGCACCTGTTATTCTGCATATTAGTTCCATGAAGATCAAATGATTGTGAGTTAGGTTTATCCTTAAATTACAAAACTATTATATTTTGTTTATTTCTTACTGTTTCAAAGCATTTCCACTAAGTCTTAATGTAAATAATTTTTGTTTATCACCTATTTTTGAGAAAAAATTTGTGTTAAGGCTTAATGTACAAGGATATTTTAGTTTATTACCTTCTTCACAAGTCCCTATGCTAAGGCTTATTCTACAGTATCATCTATCTTTTGTTATTTCACTCTGTATGTTTATTTTTTTTTGGCAAACTATTTCTATAAAAGTTTAATGTACAATAATATTTTTAGTTAAGTACCTACTCTGACAAAACCAAAATTCTTGTTTATTGCTTATTTTATTACTGCAGAGATTAAAGGCTCCCTCAAGAATCGCAGAGACTCCAATGTACCAATCAAGTGTCTCTCTTAT